TATTTATATATATATGCACATATATATATATGCGTGCATATATGCATATATATATGCATGCATATATGCATATATATATATGCGTCCATATATGTGTGTGTCTGTATATATTTATAAACTGTATATTATTTTCAATCATTCAATGGACAATGGAGTATTTGCACTTTTTTAATATATACCATCAAACATATGTTCATATATAAAGTGGGTAACTATACAAAACGAAGTGAGATAACTGTTTATGAATATCTGTTCAATTTTATGTAAACTTGTGTAACTCATGAAAGATAAATGAGTGTTTCAATAAAACTATTACATATAAAAATGTATAGTGTAGTTTTTGTTTTCATTGCAATATATTATTTTTATATGTATCAATATATAGCCATACATGGTCCATGCATATATTGCAATATATTTAAAAATATAAGGACTACTTTCCCATATATGGAAATGTATGATCCAGTATATTGTATTATATTTACCAATATATTACAATATATTTTTGTTTCATAAGGGTATACCTACTTTAAGGGAGCAACATTTCATATATATATCATTGGTAATAAAGCAATCATTTGAATACAGAAAATAGTTGTTGTCTAGGCGCAAAATTGTATCACAACAATTTAATGCCATAATAATGATCAAAATTAATAAATACCACAACACTTCAGTAGTTTTGAAGTTTAAATGTTGTGGGTTGTCAAAATTGAAAGCTTCCACTTCCATTCATCAGTGCAAAGCTAAGGAAGTGAACCGTAAGCAGTCAATTGTTTAGTTATAGAGTGGCGAAGTCACGCCCACCTACTTCCGGGTAATGGGACCTTATTTCGGAAAAATATGCATTGAAGTCAATGGGGAGAGAAAACTTATCTTTCGATCCCGTTTGAATTGTGCCATGAATTACACATATGATGTTTGTCATCTTAAAAAATAATTTCCATGTCAAAAAAGTCACAGTTTGTCGTAAAACTGTTGAAATATAAGACTATGAAAAATACGTAACTAGAAAGACTACAAATCCCAGAGTTGCGTAAGTGATGTCACAATTGTTTTCCTCCACCATTCAGATACCTAAGATCAGCGCAATAAAGATATAATCTATCTATATGGCGCTGGCTAAGATAAGATAACTTTAACAAGATGCCTGTGTGCTTAGTACCAGGTTGTTATTATACCAGCAATGGGTCTTGCTCGTTCTTTTGCTTCCCGTCTGATGAAAGCACCAGGAGTGGCTTGATCAAGTTAGCTACCTAGCTAGTAGCTAGCACGTTAGTTAGCATTACAGCCTTGTCATTTTTATTAGCCTTAACATGAAGTAACATTAAGTAACCCAACATGTTAAACAGTAAGAGTAGTAGTCATATTTCGTGAACCCTTTGAATAGTACTGTCACCGGTGTGATCATTCTATTATACACAATTTAAGCCCGGGGGAGAAATGCTAACGCTAACGTTAGCATTGGCGATCTTCTCTACTTCATGCTATCTGCATAAATGGTTGACATTAAACATTAAAACGACCAGGCAGTTCAGAGAGAATCAAAGGAAGGCAGGCAGGCAGCTTTGCATGACATTCTTCAGGACGTGTTTCATTGTGGTGATAGTGAGGATAGTCAATCGTTTTGTTGACAAGACAGTAGTGACGGCCATCTTGGTGACGTGTGTTGTTGACCAGAGATGTAGTTCATTGAGCGTTTCACACAAACAAATGTGTTACTTCACAGTTTTACGACACATTTTTTTTTTTTTTACTTGCAAAATTATCTTTTAAATTGACAAACATCATATGTGTAATTCGTGGCACAATTCAAACGGGATCGAAAGATAATCTTTCTCTCTCCATTGACTTCAATACATAATTTTTCCGAAATAAGGTCCCATGGAGGTCCACCGGAAGGGGAGGGACTTCGCCACTCTATTAGTTAGGAGTTACATTTAAATGACATCAGACCCTGCTGCCAGACTTCAGAAAGACGAGTTGTGTAGAGTAGGTAAAGTATGAGATAAAGCAGTTTGACACCACCTTGTGGTCATATATGGAAAGAAAGCTTCAAATGTAACTGCTCAGTGACTGGAGAACAAGTAAAATAAATATCCTCAGTAAAACATACTTACATAAATTGGACAAATTAATGTTGTTTGTAGTGTGTCAGTAGATTCCCTTCTTCTATCTCTCTACATAGAGAATACTGTATGTTTACCCATGGACAATGTAGGAACAAAGTACCATATATTCACATTTTGAGATCATACAAAAGTGTAAGCATTAGCAGAAAACATATTATATTTTAAGTGCATTAAGGGTTTTGTTTACCGTTTTTAGATTTTAATGCCAATAATATGTTTGAAAAATATAAAATGTTCGGCCTTGTTTTCCTCCTGGACAGGCTTTACTGATTTGATTACATTGAAAGCATGTAATAAAGATAATACTTGTGGGTTGTTGTTTTTGTATTGGTAAAAAGAGTATGAAGAATTCCATGATGTTTTGAGTTATTTTGGTTAATCTGCTTAACATAATACAGAACGTTTGTATTATTAAAGATGAGATAAGATGGACATTTAACGAATTAACTAACAACACAATTTCACCCACCGAACACACTCCCATCTGGATCAATCCTGACTTTCTAATAAACAGAAAACCTTTACATTTCAAATTGTGGATCGCCAAAGGCATCACACTCTTCAAAAATATATTTCATGAACACAAGTTAATTCCATTTTCTGATTTGGTCCAGAAGTACGGCATCAGGGAACATCAATATTTTGAATATTTACAACTCAAATCACCCATTCAAACTAAAGTTAACAGCAAAACTTTGAACTCTTACCCACCCCTCAAAAATATTCAAAATCAAATCAAGAAAAAAACTGCTTTCATAAATATATAAATGTATTTATTCTGCAGACTAAACAATGTCCATCCCTTCAAATAAATGGGAAAAAGATCTACAGATTACCCCCAACGCCGACTTCTGGTCGCAAATCTGCAGAAACTTATTCTCCATATCAACCAACACCAACATGCACGTCATACAATATAAGATTATTCACAGAGTGCACTACACGGGGGAAAGGATGTTCAAAATGGGTTTTGCATATTCTGACATCCGTCCTCATTGCTCACTTAACACCACAGACACCTACCCATGTGCCACATGGGAATGCACACCAGTTAAGCAATTATGGCATAACATCACTAACAACCTCTCTCTTTTGCTGGACTGCCACATCCCTTTGTTTACTACAGTAGGAGACATTTCCAATGTGAACATCAACATTACATCAAGTAGAATTCTGTCCATAGTAGTAATCATTGCAACAAAAACTATCCTCATGAATTGGAAATCACGACACAAAAGCAATATCACAATTTGGAAAAACCTGCTTAGAGAATACATTTCAATGGAAAAATTATCTGCCGGCATAAAAAAACAAACCAATGATATTGATGCAATCTGGAACCCATTGATTGATGCATTTAATTAATAATCCTCAATACGATTTCAGCCACCACCCCTTTCTACTTCTTTAAGGTCATGCTACTATTTATATGCCCCCCCCCTTCCTAGGATATATGACTATTATATTCTTACTCATTTAATTTCAATTATAATTTAGTCATTTATTTCTCTCTTTTTGTCTAATCGCTCAAGCGCACGCACGCACGCACACACACACACACACACACACACACACACACACACACACACACACACAGTTTTTGTTTTCTTTTTTTGTCTCTGTGTATATTTTGTTATTTGTATACTTGTAAATGCTCCTTATTGTCTTCTGTGTATATGTGACACTACGTACAAAAATAGAGATAAGATAATCAAAATTATGTTTATTAATACAAAACAAAAAACATGCCCCAAAAATCTGAAAGAAAACAAATACACTGTACAAAAGATGTGTGCTTCAGTTCCTTTGAATCTGAACATCTTGTTTGACCTATTGGTGGCGCTGTGACTTCAGATGTTTTGGCTTTTGCAAGAGACTACTTCTGCAGGTAAATTAAAGGCATTAGATAATTTGTTGGCACCCTGTGGTAGCATCTAGTAAGAATCATTCTGTGTACAGTACATGCAGTTATAATTGCATTTGGGTTTTATTCATAATATATTTGTGTGTCCACTGTGTGCATCTACAGTGCTAAAGCATGTGTCCATACTGCATATATTAGTATCTGGCTCTAATATCACCAAATGTACAACAAGGTTAGAGCCACATGATCTGTATCAGACATGTAACAGATAATGTTGTAGTACAATGTTTTACACTAAATATAAGTACACAGAAAGTAAGTACAGGTGAATTACAAAGCATTTAGCATGTTCCTAGAAAGGCCTTTATTAAAAAAAGGCACTGTGCTATTTACACAAAAGCAGCAAATACACTCAATTGCTGAAACAAGGATGTTGTTTTTCATGTTTTTATCCGCTCCATTGGTTCTGTCCATTATTGATCTGGAAGAAAACCAAAATGAGTTATCGTCATTGGGTAATTTCTGCTCATGGTACTATTTTTTAATACAACAATGTATGGTAAAGCCAACTAATTTGTGTGTGAACATATTTACATTCGCCATTTATTAGTTATGATGTTTTAAGTAATGTTTCACTAAACCAAAACATGTCTGGAAAACAACATGCTGTATATAAAAAGACATTACATTCACACAAAGTGTAAAAGCTTTATTTGGTGGATTTGATCATTGCTGAAACTGGCAAGCAGCACAGCACACAATAAAAGCTTTTAGTATATTAATATGTATATGTATTAAAGTGTTTTGTACTTGACTTTACCCGCAGCCACGTTTATGTAAAGGCTCTCTTCTGGTTCATTACTGGCACCTGCTAGAAGGATTAAAATAATAATCAAAGGACAATTTCTGTACTTTATTTAGACACTGCTGGCCTACAAAAGCATCTCAACCATTGCATGTAGTACTTGTATTACTCCATGTTAAACACAAATGAAATACTCTACCATTTCCAGCTTCTACAGGCGCTCCGATTGTTTCATAGAGACAACGATCACCTACAGAGAAGTGAAAATCAAGCCATGGTCATACCAATCATTTTAATCACAATTAAGGCTGAGAGTTAAAAATAAATCATATTATTAAGCTGGACAAGGGCTGACCATGGAGGAGAGGAGAATATTCTGGCATGTTTTGAATTTCATCCTGGTTGATCATGTGGTCTGTAGCAGGGACCTGATTGGTCCTCTGAGATCTGGTGTATATATGTCTATTTTCATTTTCATTCATTTCTTACCTATAGTTTATATGAACAAATATGTATATATGCTTGTTTTAATATATATATTTTATTCATTTCTTATTTCATAGTTTCTCATTATTATTATTTTTAATTTTAATCGCTGATCTTATTTTTGATTGTATTAATCTGTGTGAATCTGTGCTATCCTGTTTTTCACTCTCACCCTGTTGCTGTTTAAACAACTGAATTTCCCCACAGGGATTAATAAAGGTCCATCTTATCTTATCTTATGTCTGAAACAATATTACCAGCAGATAAATATCTTGAAACATATTCCCAACTAAGAAGAATTAAGAAAAATCTTACCAGTTAAGGTATCTAATTACAATGTATTGTAGAAGCCTTATATTATTAGGTTTTGGATTTACAAAGTCTAAGGGTTGAATCATGGCAAACAACAACTCATGTGTCAGGATGAAAAGAGGGTCAGGAGATTAACTCGTGTTAAAATTCAGTCAAGTCCAGAAGCTGAATAAATTCATCATCATACAGACCAGACAAACGTTTATAAATGCATCTGGTGGCTTAATGATGGTACACACTACAGAAAGAAAGAAAAAGGAAGAACATACTGACCTCCAGACCAGACAAACTTAGGTTTGCTGTACGAACTGTAAAACACTGGATCTCCTCTTCCTGCTCTGCACACATATGCTGCTGTGTGTGTTTGTCCATCAATGATGAAGAGATCCTGTTTAGTCCCACTCTCGCTGCCAGGTAGCAGCTCATAGCTGTAGGAGTGGTCTGACTTTTGGGGAACAGCCTTATACCAGTAGAAGCTCCAGCCAGCAGAAGGATGATCAACCCTGCAGTTCAGAGTTACTGAGGCTCCAGGACTCAGCCATGATGGAGACACAGTGAGGACAGGCTGAGGTTTGTCTGTTGGAAAGTGATTTAATGATAACGTTATGATTTATAATTGGTGGGTTACATGCACTCATTGGATCCTACATATTTCTTGCATACAGTATGTAAAAAACAAATGTAAGTTTGAACTGTCCTTAAATATAACAACAGACTCTCCAATAAAAACAGTGGTCCAGTTTGGCTCAATGGTCAGCACAGCATCTAGAAACCATCACAAGAGACATAAAGTAAAATGTGTTTTCTTTTTGTCAAAACATTTACAATACATTGACAAAACGGAACACACACAAAAGAGGATGTTGTTTGGAGAGTTACCTACAGTAGGTAGGTTTTACTTTAGTTGGTAAACAAAAATAAAGAAAATTGTATAATTACCTTGAGCTTGTACACGGTAGAGTAAATTCAGCACTGAAATAAGTATGAAACTACATCAGACATTATAAAACTGACAGAAATCAAATATATTATAACCTAAGGCATTTAAAAAGTTGTATCAATGGCAATTAAAACAGGAAAAGTACTCACAGAATAACCCCAGCGCGCAGAGCAAAGTGTGTCCCATCTTCGCATCGAACACTGACTCTCTGTCTCTTACATACGTCCACTTTAACACTTGAAACAAATTGAGGAAGACTAACAGAGCACTGTGGGAGTAAATCTGATCTGATGTCAACATGAGCTCATTGGTATTTTACACATTTCCTGAGAATAACTAGTCTCTCTTTCCTTCCTGTTTTACATTGGCATGCAGATACATTTTAACTTCACTCTCGACCAATATCCCACTTTCAAAAGGCAGAGTAAAAAGTCATTTTTGCTCAACTCATATCTTAGTAAAAATGGATGGCATTATTATACTTGTGTTTCAAAGGCAGATATATTTAACGTCAACAGTTAGATGGTTCATCGGGACAACTGCAGAATGATTTAACCTCTTTTCATTCTTTACCTGATCTTTATTGCAATTGTAATTCTGATAATTTATCAAAAAACACAAGACAAATGTCAGGATTTTTTGGTAAAATAGCCATCTTGTAAACCTCTAATATTATATGTTTCTACTGCTTCATCACTATAGTAATAACAAGGGCCGATGATTCAAAGTGACACATTTTTTGGTCACATCTCAGCTCTTGCACCTCTAAATTCCTTCTGTCGCCTAAAAGCATGACTGTACAGGATCCCCAAAATAAGACGGAGGATGATGAAGCAAATCAAACACCTTGTGTAAAGGAAAATCATGTAGAAGCAATTAAGTAAATCAAGTTTATTGATGCAAAACAAAGCATGCTTTTTTTTAAACACACCTAGATTAAAGCCATATGATACATTTCCTTAATATTATTTGCTATTACATTAACTGTACAAAATACTGTCTGATGAATGGAGAGCAAAGCTGCAAATAAGGTTTATTTAACAAAGGTTTCGTTTTGGTATGTTGTTTCCATTCGTCTTGTCCTTACAGAAGACATTCTTTGATCTGGAAGAAAACCAAAGAAGAAAGAAATTACACTTTAAAAAAAATGTGAGTGTTTCATGACATATTACTCCCATTTACAACATATTTAACAATATATGAAATAAATAAAGTGATTGATCCCAATACTTACATGATGTTACGCTGCATCTTTACCAAGAGCTGTTCCTGGTTTGATCTCAGAATAAACAGTTTCATCCACTGGTGCAGGATTTGACTTCCCTATGAATTAAGAGATTATTATTATGTATTTTTTTACAGTATTCCCCCAGTTAAAACTGAAAATGTACTGGTATACATTTTCCTCACAAGAGGGTAAAGTGATAGTTTGATAGAAGGAATTTCTCATGATGATTCACAACAGTTAAACATGTATTGATACAGATAAATGTATTGGCAGAAAAGAAAACTTAATAAACATTGAAAAAGTTATGTGTAGGATTTGTAAAGAGAGTACTATTTCATCAGACCTGCAGCTGATGCCATCTGCACATGTGAGTAAACACAATCCTCCGGTTCATTTTTCTTCACTGTTAGACGGATCAGGAGAAAGAGTGAAAAGACAATACTTTACTTAATTTAGGCACTGCTAGCCTACAAAGCACTTTAATTATTGTATGTTATTGTTACGACATAGAAATCAAACACTCACCCTTCTTAGAAATGTTTTTGAGCTCCACAACAGAATATGTCGCATCCGTGTATTCATCTGAAATATAAAATGTAGTAATATTTAAAAGAGTGAAGCTTGAATTGTCATATTCCAGTATTTATATTTACTATACTGTACCATTTGCAGGTTCTCCAGGGCCTTTGACTGTTGCATAGAGACAAGCATTATCTGAAGAGAAATCTAAATCAATATGCAAAATATATATATTAAAATCCCTCTATGAACTCCTAAATTTTTTTAAACAACTAATGGGAAAAGGAAATGCTACGCGGATGCTACATTCACAATAAATTCAAAAGATATTAAGGATTCAGGCTGACCCTGAAGAACAGAAGCATATTCTCTTTGGTTAGTTTCGTCCTGGTTGATCATGTGGTCTGTAGCAGGGACCTGATTGGTCCTCTGAGATCTGGTGGGCAAAATACATGTAGTAAATGAAATGGATTTATGAAGGAACATATTACTGCTGTCATGTTCATAATAAAAGAAAATAGAGTGTTGTACCAACCCGATGTAGCATGAATCTGTTAAAAAAGTACTACAATATTATTTTGCATTGCAAAAGTGTCCTACTGTTAAAACAGTACATGTGATTACATTAGAGTCAATCTGATATCAGAGGAAAATTATCTCACCTTTTGACTTTCTGTATAAATACAGGAACAGCAGCAGGAGAATAATCAGTGAAACTCCACAAAGCAGCCCAACGATCAGCAGAATGGGAAATTGAGAGGCTTTTCCATGCCCGGACGCTGCTATTATAAGTAATCATTATTAATGTTTATTTATATAAAACGTTCCTGTAATAGATTAACTTTATAAAACCTTTTTTTTTTAAACAAACACAGTTTAATTCAGAGGAAACTAAGTTATCTTTATCTCAGACTGTAACACAGCTTACAAAAAAGGAAGGGTTTTTAAAATCATACTTACGTTTTACAGACAACCAACTCTCTGGTGACGTCCACTTCTGTAAACCATGTGCTGCATCTCTCTGTTTACATTTATAAAAGCCTTCGTCTGACTTTGACACTGCAGAGATGGTCAGCTCCCTTCTGGTATCGTTCTGGATGAGTTTGTCATTTTTATAGAAATCCACATTATTAACAGCAGCTTCATTATTTAACTTGCAGCTAAGAGTGACAGGAAGTCCCTCAGCCACAGGACGGACAGGACTCACCAGGATCATTTGACCATCATCTGGAAAATAAAAATGAAAGAATATAAAGGCTTTGTCAGAGACATCAGCTCGTGCAAATGTAATATGTTTAGGTACAACTGGTCTAGTCTGGCAGAAGATGTATGAGGACAATAAAACATGTTAAATATTATCTTTGATCTTTGAAATAAGTAACCCTGGAGTTCACTTCGCAGTTCGCCTTTTTTATAAAGTTTTAACTCACTTTGAAGAGACCTTTGGCTAATGCTTGTCAGCTTCACATTTTAAAACAACATAATACTTCAGAAACAAACATTTTAAATAATTAAAACTCACACTCAATAGTGATGTTGACTGCATTACTGAACTGTCCTGTTTCAGACTCACACCAGAACACTCCACTGAGCCAGTATCTGGTTATTGTGCATGTGGATCCAGTCATTGTCCCCCAGGAAGAACAGCGATGAAGGTAGTCAGATTTCGAAAACATCCTCACTCTCCACTCAGTGGAGTTTCCCTCACAGCTCAGTGACACAGACGTTTTGGTGAAGTGCTGCACACTGTCAGGACTCACTGTGAGAGACGCTGCTGAATTCAAATCTGAAACACACAAAGAGGGGACATTTAAAACATGCAAACTGAAAAAGACATTGCATTGGTACAGCAAAACTTCCACTTAACTTACCCTGAAAAAACAAACGGGAAGTAGGAGGAAAACAAAACTGAAGGAACCAGTGCCTCAATCCCACACCACTACATTTTTTAAATATATGTATTGTCTATGTCTGAAACAATATTACCAGCCGATAAATATCTTAAAACATATTCCCAACTAAAAGAAATAAAGAAAACACTTACCAGTTATATCTAATTACAATGTATTGTAGAAGCCTTTTATTATTAGGTTTTGGATTTACAAAGTCGAAGGTTTGAATCATGGCAAACAACAACTTATGTGTCAGGATGAAAAGACTTAAGAGATTAACTTGTATTAAAATTCAGTCGAGTCCAGAAGTTGAATAAATTCATCATCATTCTGTTTTAGAGAATAGTTTTGAAAACTGAACTATGACCTGATGCTGGTGTAAAAGAAAATTTCACAAAATAAGGGACTTTATTCCATTTTGCAATAATGGAAAAGTCTAAATAACATGCCTCAAGACCAGACAAACTTTGATAAATACATGTATTGTGCTAATGGTGGTGCAAACTAAAGAAAGAAAGGAAAAAGGAAGAACATACTGACCTCCAGACCAGACAAATTTAGGTTCACTATGCCCACTGTAAAACACTCGGTCTCCTCTTCCTGCTCTGCACACATATCCTGCTGTGTGTGTTTGTCCATCAATGATGAAGAGATCCTGTTCAGTCCCATTCTCGCTGCCAGGTAGCAGCTCATAGCTGTAGGAGTTGTCTGACTTTTGGGGAACAGCCTTATACCAGTAGAAGCTCCAGCCAGCAGAAGGATGATCAACACTGCAGTTCAGAGTCACTGAGGCTCCAGGACTCGGCCATGATGGAGACACAGTGAGGACAGGCTCAGGTGTGTCTGTTGGAAAGTGATTTAATGATATATAATTGGTGGGTAACAAACACTCCTTGAATGCTACATATTTTCTACAAACCTGTACATCACATTCAAAGGTTAACTGTCCTTAATATAATCACAAAATAAAATTATATTTTTATTTACAGCAAAAAAAATGTAAACTGATGATGTATTACTTACCGTTAGATACTGTCAATGTGAAAACATCACTCCACAGCGTGTAAGACATTTCACCTTTCAGTCTGCCCACACACTGGTATTTCCCATTTCTTGATGAAGGAGCAAGGTGAGATTTCTGAGGTGTTTCTGACCCGGGTGTCATCCAAAAAAACTCCCACTCATAGTCTCCTCCATCCTCAATTTCACATGAAAGACTGAATGTTTCTCGAGAGTAAATTTGAGGCCAGTTGGGTTGCAGGGTCACAACAGTCCTGTTTGTGACTATTAACCATCAATGAGCACCAAAGGCAATTTTAGACATAAAACATAGCATTTTTTGTGTCAAATACATCATTTGTTTTCTGTAGGATATAATATTAGATGTTTTAATTACCGACTGCATCGCTGTACTCTGTGTAGTAAACAGGGTCTCCTCTTCCTCCTCTGCACCAGTAGACGCCTCCTCGTGAGACACTGATTTGGTCATTTGTGAGGAAAACAACATCTTGTGTCTTCAGGGGTTCAGAGGTTTTCTCTTTTTTGTACCAGAAGTATCTCCAACCAGAAGATGATGATGGTCCTACAGAGCAAGTTAGAGTCACATGGCCCCCTCCTGGAAATATGTATCTCAGCTGGGCCTTTGATTTAGCTGTTTAATGTAGAATAAAGGTACAAATGTTTACAAAATGTTAGTTATTGTCCCTGTAAATAAGCCTAGCTTGACAAATAATACAAATATATAATATATCTTATCCAGCATTCTTAGTAATATTCAATCACTGTGTATGCTATAATGAAAATATAGAGAAATACCAAATATGCTTATATTTATATTTATAACCACTGAAGTAGTTATTTAAATTAACCTTGTGTATAAACACAAATAAAACGGGATGAAGTTGAAAAAGTCCAGTGTTTCTAAGATTATGCAGATATCATATAGTTTCATTTTGGGATTACTAAATGTCTGAAGCTTTTAGGTATGAAAACTACTTACGTTCTAGTCTCAGTTTTATTGGTTCAGATTCTTCATCGCCAAATTTACAACTGTAAGAGCTCCCGTCTGACATTACTTGAACTGTGTTGTTTGCCATTAATGGTGACTGGTGGTTTCTGTCTGTTGTGATCAATGATCCGTCTCTGTAGAAGGAAGCATTCTCCTCTCTCTGAGTACGATGCCGACAGCGCAGAGTCACTGATTCTCCTTCAAACAAAGTGGACGCAGGACTTTCCAGGATCACGTTTTTGTCTGTGTCACACAAATGGTTACTTGTTTTAGTAAAACAGCTCAATTAATACCACATTAGTACAATAAATACTTCCAGTTATGAAGAATACATTTTCACATTTCATGAAAAAGGAATACATTTTTACCTGCACTGTTTGAATAATTACTGTTAAGCACATTAAGGTGTATTAGTTTCTCGAATATATTTGTCTTTCTTCATAATTTGTCACAATTAATAAAGTATAACAAGGTTTGTTGGTAAAGTATTATCTTTATGTAAATGCTTTGATGTAAGAAACTGATCCCTGTTTGTATTTTTGTTCTTATTTGAATACTCTTGATTTTGTGATAACACAAAGCACAGGATTGTACAGTAAACTTCACCTGCCTATACAGCGTCAGTGGAGCTGTTCAAACCTTAAAACATTGTAATAATTTACAGATTATATATTAGAATTTGTCCAAACTGCGTGTTCATATCAATATGGCTCATAAATAAATAAATGCTTTTATTGAACATGTAAGTAGTATTACTTTGATCACTTACCTGATATATATAGATAGATTTTATTGCTTGTCTTTGTTGATCCCCCGTTCTGAAACAAGCATTGGTATTCACCACTGAATCTTGTATGTAGAGGGTGTATTTTATAGCTGTCATGTTTGCCGTAAGAGAGAAATTCTCGACCATCGTGGTACATTGAGTAAAACCAGTCGCTGTATCTGCCTCCTGTAATGTCACACTTGAAGGTAACAGACTCTCCAGAAAAAAAAGTGGTCCAGTTTGGCTCAATGGTCAGCACAGCATCTAGAAACCATCACAAGAAACATAAAGTAAAAAATGTGTTTTCTTTTTGTCAAAACATTTATAATAAATTGACAAAACGGAACAAACAAAAAAGAGGATGTTGTTTGGAGAGTTACATAGGTTGATTTTCGCTTTACTTATATATTAGTAAACAACAAGAAAGAAAATTGTATTATCACCTTGAGCTTGTCCACGGTAAAGTAAATACAGCACTGAAATAAGTTTGAAACTAAATCAGACATTATCAAACTGACAGAAATCAAACGTATCATAACATCAGGCATTTATAAAGTTGTATCAATGGCAATTAAAACATGAAAAGTACTCACAGAAAAAACCCCGTAGAGAGAGCAAAGTGTGTCCCATCTTCACATCCAACACTGATAATCTGTTCCTCTGTTTATGAGAAATTCTTCTACTTTGTGTAAATAGAAAGATTAAAACTGCAGCATATGAAGAGAAATCAGGAACTACAGAGAAAGAAATGCAATGCAATATTGGAAAAGGAAGTTGTTTTTTTAACTTATTTTAAAAAGTACACGGTCTGGGCTTCCTTCCCTTTTACACAAAGCTCACACAACTGAACAGTTTTTAACACAGCACATATTTGTGCACCTTGGTTTAGGTATCCTCTAATGATGAAGAGACATACGGTATTAAAGTATCCTCACTGATGTAGATAAGATCATCCTGTGGGCTCGTGCTTCTTCACAAATGGTCAGTAATTATTGATGCTTTTCTAAAGACTGCTGCATGAAGTGTCTTTTCTCGAACAAATTAAGTGATAAAATTGCATGCGTCATACTCACTTTATAATCCATGGGCCTTCTCACCAATATTTCATGTGAAAATGTGTGTAACAGCTTTAACCAAATAGTTGAACAGCAGTGCTGGAGTGTTCTGGAGAAATTCAAGTTTAAGTTTAGAAACAACCTCACCCACAGGAAGTCTCTCATAGTCTCTTTACCAGAAGTGAATGTGAAGAGAGACAAAGTCCTGCCCTCTCCTCGAGATAGACTCTATCTACTTTAAGGGAGCAACATTTCATATATATATATCATTAGTAATAAAGCAATCATTTGAATACAGAATATATGTTTTGTCTAGGTGCAACATTTGATCCACAGTCGAACAAAGATGATGTTAATTCAATAAAAATGGTCGAAATTAATACATACCACAACACTTCAGTAGTTGTGAAGTTTTAAATGTGGTGGGTAGTCAAAATTGAAAGCTTCCACTTCCATGCATCAGTGCAAAGCTAAGGAAGTGAACCGTAAGCAGTCAATTGTTTAGTTATTAGTTAGGGAGTTACATTTACATGACATCAGACCCTGCTGCCAGACTTCAGAAGGACTATTTGTGTAGAGTAGGTAAAGTATCAGATAAAGTGGTTTGACACCACCTTGTGGTCATATATCGAAATACATGTTCTATTATAACTGCACAGTGACTGGAGAAACATTTTAATAAAATATCCTCAGTAAAATACTTACATAAATTGGACAAACTAATGTTGGCTGTAGTGCGTCAGTAGATTCCCTTCTTCTATCTCTTTACATAGATAATACTGTATGTTTACCCATGGACAATGTAGGAACAAAGTACCATATATTCACATTTTGACATTATACAAGATAATAAAGTGTAAGTACTAGCAAGAAACATATTATATATTAAGTGCATTAAGGGTTTTGGTTACCATTTTTTTATTTGAATGACAATAATATGTTTGAAAAATATAGAATGTTCTGCCTTGTTTTCTTCCTGGAGAGGCTTTACTGCTTTGATTGCATTGAAAGCACGAAATAAAGATAAGACTTGTGGGTTGTTGTTTTTGTATTAGTGAGAAATTCCATCATGTTTTAATTATATTGGATAATCTGCTTCACAAAACACAGAACGTTTGTATTATTAAAGATGAGATAATAAAATAATTCAAGTTATTTTTATTAATACAAAACAAAAAACGTGCCCCAAAAATCTGAAAGAAAACAAATACACTGTACAAAAGGTGTGTGCTTCAGTTCCTTTGAATCTGAACATCTTGTTTGACCTATTGGTGGCGCTGTGACTTCAGATGTTTTGTCTTTTGCAAGAGACTACTTCTGCAGATAAATTAAAGGCATTAGATAATGTGTTGGCACCGTGTGGTAGCATCTAGTAAGAATCATTCACTGAACAGTACATGCAGGTATAATTGCATTCAGGTTTTATTAATAATATATTTGTGTGTCCACTGTGTGCATCTACAGTGCTAAAAGCATGTGTCCATACTGCATATATTAGTATCTGGCTCTAATATCACCAAATGTACAACAAGGTTCGAGCCACATGATCTGAATCAGACATGTAACAGATAATGTTGTAGTACAATGTTTTACACTAAATCTAAGTACACAGAAAGTAAGTATACAGTTGAATTGCAAAGCATTCAGCATGTTCCTAGAAAGGCCTTTATTAAAAAAGGCACTGCACTATTTACACAAAAGCAGCAAATGCACTCAATTGCTGAAACAAGGATGTTGCTTTTCATGATTTTATCCGCTCCATTGGTTCTGTCCATGAGGATGTCTTTATTGATCTGGAAGAAAATCAAAATGAGTCATTATCATTGGGCACTTTCTGCTCATGGTACTATTTTTGAATACAACAATGTGTGGTAATGCCAACTAATTTGTGTGTGAAAATATGTACATTTGCCATTTATTAGTTACGATGTTTCAAGTAATGTTTCATTAAACCAAAACATGTCTGGAAAACAATATATAAAAAGGCATTAAAATGCACAAAAAGTATAAAAAGCTTTATTTGGTGGATTTGCTCATTGCTGAAACTGACAAGCAGCACAGCACATTATAAAAGCTTTTAGTATATTCATATGTATATGTATTAAAGTGTTTTGTACTTGACTTTACCTGCAGCCACGTTTATGTAAAGGCTCTCTTCTGGTTCATTACTGGCACCTGTTAGAAGGATTAAAATAATGTATCAAAGGACAATTCCTGTACTTTATTTAGACACTGCTGGCCTACAAAAGCATCTCAACCATTGCATGTAGTATTTGTATTACTTCATGTTAAACACAAATTAAATACTGTACCATTTCCAGCTTCTACAGGCCCTCCGATTCTTCCATAGAGACAACGATCACCTACAGAGAAGTGAAAATCAACCACGGTCAAACCAATCATTTTAATCACAATTAAGGCTGAGAGTTCAAAATAAGTCATATTATTAAACTGGAGAAGGGCTGACCATGGAGGAGAGTAGAATATTGTGGCATGTTTTGAATTTCATCCTGGTTGATCATGTGGTCTGTAGCAGGGCCCTGATTGGTGCTCTGAGATCTTGTGGGACATACACATGAAGACAATGAAGACGATTGAATTTAACATATAACTGCTGTAATGTTCAAAATGAGATAAAAGAGGGTTGTACCGACCTGATGAAGACTGAATCTGTTGAATACAAGAAAAACTTAGTTACTGTACATTGTTTTTGAATTGCAAATGTGTGATTTTGAGTAATTATAGTTTAATTCATTTGATATCAGATGAAAAGGTTCTGACCTTTTGATTTTCTGTAGCGATACATGAACAGCAGAGGGAGAATTATCCGTAAAACTCCACAAAGCAGCCCAACAGTCAACAGGACGGGAAATTGAGAGACTTTTCCAGGCCGAGAAGCTGCTAATATAAATAACCTTAATTATTATTTTTGTATATAACACTTTCCTCAAAGCACTTTACAGGAACAGAGCTTCAAGGTCGGACCAAGCCTCAGAAATATCTAAGATTAATAAACAATGACAATTAAAAATGTATTAAAAACCTACATTCACACATTGACACATATATGTACAACTATGGAATATACAAAACTATACAAATACACTTACACATAAATCATAAATATTTACACACTTATTGGAACAAATTCACAAAATACACTATAAACCCCTGTTCACATATCTTATATTTGTAATGCTGCTCATGTAATCATGGTCATATGAATGTTTTAAGACTGAATACAGAACTGGAAAAATATATTTCTCTTACAAAAACTAAATTGTATAATTCAGAGGAAAATAAGACAACTTTGAATTCAGTATTAACGGTCTTTTTTTAGCTCTGACTCAGCAACACATCTCAAAAAGAGGAAACTGTTTTTTGTCATACTCACATTTTACTGAGAACCAACTCTCTGGTGACATCCAACCATCTGCTGAATCTCTCTGTTTACATTTATAAAAGCCTTCGTCTGACTTTGACACTGCAGAGATGGTCAGCTCGCTTCTGGTATCGTTCTGGATGAGTTTGTCATTTTTATAGAAATCCACATTATAAACGGTTCCTGTCTTTAACTTGCAGCTAAGAGTGACAGCATGTCCCTCAGCCACAGGACGGACAGGACTCACCAGGATCATTTTACCATCATCTGGAAAAGAAAAATCAAAGAATATAAAGGCTTTGTCAGAGACATCAGCTTGTTTACGTTTATGCATAACTGGTCTAATCTGGCAGAAGCGGAAATCAGAGGCCTGTACTACGAAGCCGGATTTTCCTAACCTGGATATGTTTGAGTTAGCCGGTTGGCCCAATCCAAAACATACGCGCTCTCGCTAAGCGGTCCTACGACGCTGGTTATCAAGTGGATCGCTCAAGCCAGCCGTGTCCTATCTAGTTAGGTGCGCGTTCACATGAAAGGGGTGGTATTTGGAGCATTCGACCAATCTCAAACATGGACAAGCGTACTGACAGCGCAGCGTCATACTTCCTGAATGAAAAGTGAACTTTAATATTAGTCAAATATGAAGAAGTTAAACTTTAAACATCCATGACTTAAACACTTTATCCAGGATAAAAGCCACATAGCTGCACCTGCAAGGTGAATACAGCTGGTAACAGAAAAAGCGTTTGAATGCGTACATTAACAGGTTTATGAAATCACTGCCCCGTCCAAGACACGAGTGGATCTGACTTTAATTACATTTGACTTGAGTGTTTCGTCAACTTAATGTGTTGCTTTAAATAATACTTCTGCCAGTGGCGGCTGGTGGAAAATATTTTAGGTGGGGCTGTGGAAAGGGTGATCAAACAATACTAGAGGGGTCCGGGGGGATGCTCCCCCGGTAATTTTTTTTGAGAAAAGACCCCTTAAATCATGACTTCTGGTGATGTTAGAGGGGGGGAGAAGGACAATTTGAGGCTTAAAAATATGAGAAGACTGATCAATACCTCCATAACTTCAGTGTGGTTAGCTATGAATCTTCCAAAACTTCCAAACACCTTGTCCTGGACATAGTTTCTACAGCATAAACTGTGCAACAGTACAGTAGGCCCACACAAACTGCAGAACACCGGGGCTTTGGGAATACTGATTTAATTCCCATTTAACCTGTTAAGGGGCTTTTTTCCCCCGTTTTTTTTCTCACGAAACTGTGTCTCAGGGCTTCTTAAAATGTAATAAACTATTCATGTGTCCTACTCAGAGGAAACGCATCTAACTGATGATATGAACCATGTTTACCGAAACAAAACACAAGTCTCACAAGAAGCGTCTAAATGAGCCCTGAGCGAAAAAATGCTAACGCACTCTAGGTATAAATCAATCGATATACTTATCGGATATGCACAAACAAGCTTACAAGCTGAGATTCCACATATTCTAGAAATATAAGTATCATCACTGAGCGATCAGAACTCGCGACAGGGGAAGCAAATACAGACATCACACGACGTAGCTTTAGGTAGCAAAACATGGAGATATGCTCACCTTTTGCAGAATAACAATTCTGATCAAAAACGAGAAAAACGCAGCTGAAGGTTAATCCATAGGTTAATCCAATGTGTCTGTCACTTTGAAAAATGATTGATGATCCATAATTCCATTTTTATGTCAAAAACTGAGTTTTCATTAGCTGTAGCTTCCAGAGTGTATGACAGCTTCCTGTTTTGTCTCCTTGGATACGAGTCCAAACAACTCACAGACTGCACCGGGCGCTCACGTAGGAGCCCTGTGACCATCATATTTGACGACGCTGATTGGCTGAAATTATGTTTTCGCGGCATAGTTTACACGTTACAGATAGCAACAGTCAGCTGCTAGTGGCTGCTGCTGCACTGGTTGAGGGCTCCTCTCTTAGCGCCCAGACGAGAGAAGGTACACGGGCAAGGCCAGGCAGGAAACATGTGACTTATCAGTAACTTTAGACATCGTAACACAATTTTAAACGAGATTTTATTGTAGATTATACATTTTACTGATACCAATTATATAATATTTACCTTGTTCATTAAAAATAAAAATAAAAAATATATATTTTTTAAAATATATTTTTATTTTTATTTTTATTTTTATTTTTATTTTTATTTATTAATATGGGAAGAGGTGGGGCGGCGCCCCTAGCGCCCCTATGGACCGGCCGCCACTGACGTCTGCATACAGTATGTGACACTGTGAGTGTTGCACGGCCAGATACGGCTCAAGAAGCTGACTCAAATAAGGAAATATATGATACATTATGATGTGATATGATATGAATGATAATGGGACACATCGACGTCTGCACTCACAGTGCCGCGGACTGTACATAATGTTACTCTGATCCGGTTACTTATGTTGTGGCAGATATTTAAGTAAGCTTTCTTAACGCTAATGTTATAATAGTCAGATTGCTCTGAAGATGGGAGGGGATATTCTATTAATTTTCACGTTCACACAGTCAGTTGATTTTTGCCGGCCGTCTTTCCTGCAACGGCAGTTTTTCTGTATTTCCACTATCCTGTAATATGACTTGATAGCTTTAAACTCCGCACACGGAGCTCTGATTGGTCAGCAGGCGGTGCTTTCACTGAGTTGATCTCTTAGCCTGCAACCTAACCTCCTCCCGAGGAGGTTAGCCGCTCAGCACAAGTTACCATGGAGATCTAGCTCGCTAAAAAGAGAACCAGCGTCGTAGGACCGGAAAGCCCGAGTTTTCCCTGAAGTCAGCCGGCTAAGCGAAAATCCGGCTTCGTAGTACAGGCCTCAGGTAGATGAGGAAAATAAAACACAGAATATTATCTTTGAGAGGAGTGACCCCGGAGTACAATTCTTAAATTAGCCTTTTTTATAAAGTTTTACTAATTTGACGAGACGTTTGGCTAATGCTTGTCACCTTCACATTTCAGAACAATATAATAATTCAGAAACAAACATTTTAAATAAATAAAACTCACACTCCATAGTGATGTTGACTGCATTACTGAACTGTCCTGTTTCAGACTCACACCAGAACACTCCACTGAGCCAGCTGCTGGTTATTGTGCATGTGGATCCAGTCATTGTCCCCCAGGAAGAACAGGGATAAAGGTAGGCAGGTTTCCAAAAGCTCCTCACTCTCCACTCAGTGGAGTTTCCCTCACAGCTCAGTGACACAGACGTTTCGGTGAAGTGCTGCACACTGTCAGGACTCACTGTGAGAGATGCTGCTGAATTCAAATCTGAAACACAAAAAGAGGGGACATTTAAACCATGCAAACTGTAAAAGACAATGCATTGGTACAGCAAAACCTCCACTTAATTTACCCTGAAAAAACAAACGGGAACAAACTAAAGTAGGAGGAAAACTAAACTGAAGGAACCATGTGCCCTTAATATCACACAACTACATTTTTTAATCATATGTATTATTACATTAAACACAAGGGACACTGTCAGGCTGAACAAGCTTGTGAGGAAGGCTAGCTCTGTAGTTGGAGGACAACTGGACAATCTGGAGGAGGTGGCAGAGGGGAGGACGAGGAGGAAGCTAGACAGTATCCTAGAGAACCCCTCCCACCCACTCCATGCAGAGCTAGTGAAGATGAGGAGTACGTTCAGCCACAGACTCATCCCTCCACGACACAGCACCAAGCGCCTCGGACAGTCCTTTGTGCCTGTAGCTATCAGGCTGCACAACAAGGGGTCAATAATGTGAAACTATTACTAGACATAAATACACACTGTTTCCACAACCCATGTTAATATATCTAATATGTAATATATGACTCTATATGTATATATGTTCATTTTCATTTTCATTCATTTCTTACCTATAGTTTATATGACCAAATATGTATATATGCTTGTTTTAATATATATATTTTATTCATTTCTTATTTCATAGTTTCTCATTATTATTATTTTTAATTTTTATCGCTGATCTTATTTTTGATTGTATTAATCTGTGTGAATCTGTGCTATCCTGTTTTTCACTCTCACCCTGTTGCTGTTTAAACAACTGGATTTCCCCACAGGGATTAATAAAGGTCCATCTTATCTTATCTTATGTCTGAAACAATATTACCAGCAGATAAATATCTTGAAACATATTCCCAACTAAGAAGAATTAAGAAAAATCTTACCAGTTATATCTAATTACAATGTATTGTAGAAGCCTTATATTATTAGGTTTTGGATTTACAAAGTCTAAGGTTTGAATCAGGGCAAACAACAACTCATGTGTCAGGATGAAAAGAGGGTCAGGAGATTAACTCGTGTTAAAATTCAGTCCAGAAGCTGAATAAATTCATCATCATTCTGTTTTAGAGAATAGTTTTGAAAACTGAACTATGACCTGATGCTGGTGTAAAAGAAAAGTTCCCAAAATAATTTATTCCATTTTGCAATAATGGAAAAGTCAAAACAAATATGCCTACAGAGCAGACAAACTTTTATAAATACATCTGGTGGCCTAATGATGGTACAAACTACAGAAAGAAAGAAAAAGGAAGAACATACTGACCTCCAGACCAGACAAACTTAGGTTCACTATGCCAACTGGATCTCCTCTTCCTGCTCTGCACACATATCCTGCTGTGTGTGTTTGTCCATCAATGATGAAGAGATCCTGTTCAGTCCCATTCTCGCTGCCAGGTAGCAGCTCATAGCTGTAGGAGTAGTCTGACTTTTGGGGAACAGCCTTATACCAGTAGAAGCTCCAGCCAGCAGAAGGATGATCAACCCTGCAGTTCAGAGTTACTGAGGCTCCAGGACTCGGCCATGATGGAGACACAGTGAGGACAGGCTCAGGTCTTTCAGCTGGAAAATTGTTTAATGTTAAATGTATGATATATAATTGGTGGGTTACATGCACTCCTTGCGTCCTAAATATTTTCTGCATACAGTATGTAAAAAACAAATTTAAGTGTGAACTGTACTTTAATATAATAAACAAAAAAAAGTCAACCGATAATAAATGACTAACGGTGCGTCTACACAGCAGCGTTAAAAAAATCTTGAAACGCTTCTGCCCATTCACTTTGAATGGGGTGACGTCACTTTCCCTCACTTTTCGCCGAAATGCATTGTGGGCAGGCGAGCGGAGATTTTCAGGATTTTCAGGATTCAAAGTTGAACATGTTCAACTTTTGAGGCTGAGGTGGAAGCGTCAGCCAATCAAATCCCGTGTACGCAAATCTGACAGTTCAAGCTCTAGCCAATCAAACGGCGTGTATGCTGGGAGAGACATACCGCAGGTCATTTCCTCATATTCCAAAAAATGGAGGAGAAATTAGCGGTAGCGAATCAATCACCCGGTGCTTTATGACCAGACCTACCGGGATATAAGCCAGGCATGGAGGGAGGTGGCAGAGACAGTGGTAGGTTTTCGCCTGTTTTGGGGAGTTTATATCCAGTTTACTTCGGGCTTTTTTGCTTCGTATGTCGCGGGCGGGAGATTCATGTGATTGGGTGTTCGTGCCTTGCTTGCAAAAAATCCGATACGCCCACCTCCAAGATTTTTTTAACGCTGCTGTGTAGACGTACCGTTACTGTCAATTTGAAAACAATCCGTTTGTCACAGGTAATAAATTATAACAAGGTTTGTTGGTAAAATATTATCTTTATTTAAATGCTTTGATGTAAGAAGCTGATCCCTGTCTTCTTATTCTTATTTTAATATTCATGGTTTTGTGATAACACAAAGCACAGGATTGTACAGTATTCTTCACCTGCCTATACAGCGTCAGTGAAGCTGTTCTAATATTATAATAATTTGCAAATTATATATTAGAACTTGTCCAAACTGGGTTTTCAAATCAACATGGCTCATTCATTTAAAAAAATGGCTTTTATTGAACTTGGTCATGGTGGTATTACTTTGATCACTTACCTGATACAGTTAGATAGATGTTATTGCTTTTTTTTGTTGAGCCCCTGTGCTGTAAAAAGCAATAGTATTCACCACTGTAGTCTGTAGCTAGATCTTGGAATGTTCTGAACTTTTGTTTGCTGGGAGAGAAAACTTCTCCATGCTGGTTGTGGATTGAGTAAAACCAGACTCTGTGTTTGCCTCCTGTAATGTCACACTTGAAGGTAACAGACTCTCCAGTGAAAAAAGTGGTCCAGTTTGGCTCAATGGTCAGCACAGCATCTAGAATCCATCACAAGAGACATAAAGTGAAATGTATTTTCTTTTTGTCAAAACATTTATAATAAATTGACAAAACGGAACACACAAAAAAGAGGATGTTGTTTGGAGAGTTACCTACAGTAGGTAGGTTTTACTTTAGTTGGTATACAAAAAGAAAGAAAAATGTATAATTACCTTGAGCTTGTACACGGTAGAGTAAATTCAACACTGAAACAAGTATGAAACTACATCAGACATTATCAAACTGACAGAAATCAAATATATCATAACCTCAGGCATTTAAAAAGTTGTATCAATGGCAATTAAAACTGGAAAAGTACTCACAGAATAACCCCAGCGCGCAGAGCAAAGTGTGTCCCATCTTCACATCCAACACTGACTCTGTCTCTTACACATACATCCACTTTAACACTTGAAAAAAATTGAGGAAGACTAACAGAGCACTGTGGGAGGAAATCTGATCTGATGTCAACATGAGCTCATTGGTATTTTACACATTTCCTAAGAATTACTAGTCTCTCTTTCCTTCCTGTTTTACATTGGCATGACTAATTCATGCTCATGCCATGCAGATACATTTTAACTTCACTCTCTACCAAGATCCCACTTTAAAAAGGCAGAGTAAATAGTCATTTTTGCTCAACTCATCTCAGTAAAAATGGATGGCAGTATTATACTTGCGTTTCACAGGCAGATATATTTAACACCTACAGTTAGATGGTTCATCGGGATAACTGTAGAATGATTTAACCTCTTTTCATTCTTTACCTGATCTTTATTGCAATTGTAATTCTGATTGTTTATCAAAAAACACAAGACAAATGTCAGGATTTGTTGGTAAAATAGCCATCCTGTAAACCTCTAATATTAGATGTTTCTACTGCTTCATCACTATAGTAATAACAAGGGCCGATGATTCAAAGTGACACATTTTTGGTCACATCTCAGCTCTTGCACCTCTAACTTCCTTCTGTCGCCTCAAAGCATGATCCCCAAAATAAGAGGGAAGATGATGAAACAAATTAAACACCTTGTGTAAAGAAAAATCAAGGAGAAACACTTCAGTAAATCAAGTTTATTGATGCAAAACAAAGCTTACTTTTTTTTTTTAAATACACCTAGATTAAAGCCATATTATGCATTTCCTTTCAATGATTTGCTATTACATTAACTGCACAAAATACTGTCTGATAAATGGAGAGCAAAGCTGCAAATAAGGTTTAATAAACAAAGGTTTAGTTTTGGTGTGTTGTTTCCATTCGTCTTGTCCTTACAGAAGACATTGTTCGATCTGGAAGAAAACCAAAGAAAGAAAGAAATTAAACTTTTTAAAGAATTTGGGTGTTTCATGACATATCACTCCCATTTAAAACATATTTAACAATATACGAAATAAATAAAGTGATTAATCCCAAAATGTACATGATGTTACGCTGCATTTTAACCGAGAGCTGTTCCAGGTTTGAGTTCAGAATAAAAAGTTGAATCCGCTGGTGCAGGACTTGACTTCCCTATGAATTAAGAGATTATTATTATACATTTGTTTACAGTATTCCCCCAGTTAAAAATGAAAATGTACTGGTACAGTATACATTTTCCTCACAAGAGGGTAAAGTGATAGTTTGATAGAAGGAATTTCTTTTGATGATTCACAACAGTTAAACATGTATGTATACAGATAAATGAAATATAATGTGCCCTGATGTTTATTTCATGAATGCATAGAATTGGCAGAAAATAAACTTAACAAACATTGACAAAGTTATATGTAGGATTTGAACATTGCTGTCTTTGGCAATACCAGGGGTGTTTCCTGGTCCTGGAAACATTTGGGGCTTAGCCCCCAGTGGCGGCGCCAGAGATTTTCTTTTGGGGTTGCTGTGGGGTAGCTTGACGTTTCATAGAGGGTGCTCAAACGGGTTTCCCATTAATGTACAGGGCGCTAGAGTGGAATGTTCTACTGCAACACTCCCCACGCAAATACACAGTGTACCCGTGACTGTTACAATGAAGGCTCGATAATCAGCACGGCATATAGGTGCAAGCTGATTTTTTTTAAATATTGAAGTCAAATGCATCAATCTGGTG